TTCCCTACATACAACCACGTCGCAAGAGGTGCGCGTTCCCGGGCGTTTCCCCAAAGGCTTGCTGCAACTCGTGAAGACATCCCCCATTAGGGATGCTGTTCTAACCCAGAGCGGCCAGTAAAATCTAGTCTCTTCCCCTCGCAGGGACCAGTCCCATTCACTTGCTTTCAGGACACTCGCTGCAGTTGTTCTTTTGTTTTCTCTTTTTAATGTTTTTTTGTGCTGATTTGAATCGTTTTAGTTCGATGCGAATTTATTTTCCCTTTTGAGGAAATATTCAGCAAGCCTGCTGGCAGCCCTCGGCTGCACTGTTTAATTCTTTTAGCGTATTTTGTTTTAAATGGATTTCCTCGCGGTTCCTATTTTAAGAGTCTCGAGTCCCATCTCAGCTCGGCATCTTCGAAGGCTGAAGATGGTGGCGCTGACCGCATTACGCGCGTAGTCGTTTCCGACTGTATGACAAATCGCGTTCAGCAGCTATTTTGCTGCTTTTTCTTTTTTTTCACTGATGGCTTGTCTGAATGGCACACGACAGCGGATCTTTGAGAATCGAATCCCTTCTGAAACCGTTTTATATGTTTTATAAAATCCTGTTAGGATGCACTGTGAGTGAATGCACTGTAACCTCCCCGATCTGACCTAGCGCGGATGCTGACACTACAGCTCGTCTCTTAGAAATACGTGCGAAACATGCTGCTGTTGCTGCTGCTTCGGGACTTCAGTGCCGAGCATCTATTTCCAGCCGTGATTGGCATAGTTGGGGCTGCAAATCCTAGAACCAGGCCTTCCTTTCTTGATCGGATTCTGTTTTGTTCGTCAACGGATGCTCATTAATGTGCTCATTAAGTCAATCAAGGACTGCCCATCCTTTGAGTACTATAGGAGTATGTCCCACCTGTATACAGTAGGAGGCATTCTGCTTAGATATTTATAAACCATTTGCGTATAATGTACATAGTAAGGTTGGTTTCCCTCCTGTTTCGTATTTTGGCTCTGACCTGATTTTTTCCTTTGAAGTACTCAAAGGGCTAGTTCTCCATGTCACCTCTCCAATATCCAGCCTTCTGATTTTCCAAAAGCCGTACAATCATTTCCCACCCCCTCGCCCCTTCCTCTCCTCTATTTAGCAGGCATGAAGGTGTCTCTGGCTACACACCCGACCAGGGCCGTGAGCGCTCGCGGAGAAGGATCTGCATGTTGCCCGCGCGGCGCCCCAAGGGCGGCGCGCCCCTTCACACCCTCCCAGCAGTAAGCACCTACTGCCGCTGCCTTTCTCTCGCTGCCCGTGCCGCAGGGCTTTGGTTTTTCGTATCTCTGAACAGACATCTCTTTTCTTTGCCCGCCACGCTTCAGAAAGTCTGACTCAGAGCCCCTCTGACCGGACCCGCACCCCCTGGCTGTGCCGTTGCCTCTACCTCGGCCAAGGATCTCCATTCTGTCGTTGGCTGCACCAGTGCTCCTTGGGCATGGGCAAATAAATGGATCCACCCCCCTCACAGTTTGAAGTACTGTAGTTCCCTCCTGTAGTGCAGAATTATTGAGGCATGTGGCTTTTTTAAGGTACACTATGTGTGCTTGCCTGGATTACAATACAATACAAGACTGTCTTTTCTATTGCTTATTACTAGCTTACCAATAACCTGTATAAGTAATGTAACTTGCATCTTTGTCATCGAAATCTTTTTCTCCCCACCCCTTTATTTATCAGGCATACTATTGCATCTTAAGGGACAGAACATAAAACTTTGTAGAATACAGCAGGACTTTGCTAACAATAATGTTTTCAATGGGAAGTCAAAACTGCTCTGAAAATGGCCAGCCAAGACCTGGTTTTGTTGGCACAGTGTTCATTGCGCATGTATTTTTTTTTTTTTCCTTTTTCTTTTTTTTTTTTTTTGGCTTTTGTCATGTTACATCCATATCTGTATTTATATCTTATTTGTTTCACTTTTGAGTGTATCATGGCAAATGTACAGATGGTTTTTTTGTTAACATTTACGTGATAGAATTTGCTAAAAAAAAAAAAAAAAAAAAATTAAAATAAAACCTTTTGAGTTTGCCCTAGAATCAGCGAACCTTTGGTTTGATTTTTCCCGTGGAGACGTTCACAGGTTGTTGGCTAATTTACGCGTCGGAGGGACAGATCTGATGCGCGTGTCCTTTTTTGAAGATAATGTGCGTTGAGATCACGTATAGCCACCGTTCTGGGGATTTTACAAGTGCTAATACCAGGCTCCTGCCTCATATGTCTTGAAGGGCTCGGGGCCTAATTCGGGCAAGTACTCAAGCGCAGGCTCGTCACATTGAAGACGTATGGGATAGATGCCTGCACTGAAGAGCGAAGCCCTTAGTTGGGCGCTTTATAGATTTGGGGCCTTGCTTCAGACCATAGCCCCAAAGCAAAGGGCAGTAACTAAGCCGCACTGCCCTGGATGTAGCCCCAGGAGATGCCGACTTGGAGCTGGCCCATCGAGGCACAGTCTCTTACCGCTGGTCTGTGCCAGGAATGAACTGGTAGTCTGTCCCCCTCTCGCCTTCCTGTGTGAGGCCCAGATATTCTGGCCAATGAGTAGGAAGCTGGAATTTAGGCTTGGTCCTTTCCCTTCCACTCCTCATCCTTCTCCTGCAAGCTTGCAAGTAGTCTTGCTTACCAAGCCCAAACGTTGAGGCCCCTGGAGGGGCCTGAGAAGGCAGTCCTTACTCCCTCCAGTGGGTGTCCAGTCTAATTCATGAGATTTAAGGATATTAATATACTCCCTTGGGACATTTCATTTGCCTTCTGGGGGTTTGAGCCCTTGGGCATCTCATTGCTCAACTCTTCCCCACGAGGACTAATGCTTACTTGTTCTTTTGAAACGAAGGCTGGGAATCCAATGCCTCCAGGGTGTAAAGAAAAATGCAAAGCATTGCAAGGCTTGGTGATAAAAATCAGATGGGGAAATGGCTTTTCAAAATATTGCGGTAGTAGAACGCACAACCTTTTTAAGGAAAGGGCGTAATCCAGCGTACGTGAAGGAGAAGACAGTCCGGTGTGACCATTTCCGAAGAACAGCACAAGGGCACAGACGCACACAACCATTGAACCGTTCCAAAATATCACAGATTCACAAGCGTCACGGGACAAAGCATGGCTGCAGTCACTCTTTCAAATACTTCCCCCTCCACAAATCTGCGCACTGTGAGGCACGCCGGGTTGGGTGCTCGCTCCCGTCCCCCATGTCGGAGCCACAGCACCTCACACAAGTATGAACAGGTTCTCAAGCAGGGACATTTGGGAACAGTTCAGTTGTTATGCGTGTCCCTGCCTCTTGGAGGGGGAATAGGAGAGCAGTTGCTGGTGAACTGAGACCTCCGTAGCACTGCAGCAATGTTCCTGTGTCCGTCCAGGCTGTTTCTGTAGCACTTTTGCCACGTTTATAGCACTCCAGGTAGCGTGTGCATTGGGACGTGCAATTTTTGCAGCAGTACAAGGGCATGTATTGCGCTAATGTAACATCTGAACACGGGCTATATTTCCTTCCATCAGTGGTAATTGCCACGAGGAAAAGTAAATGGTTCATTTTAATGCCTGATTTTTATCTTCACACTATACCTTTAACAAACATAGGCATCATGTGCCAGCTATTTTGGGGAGAGAAAGACATTCAGATTTTCAGACACTGGTTCTTGAGAAGTTGGATGAGCATGAGGGAAGCTGGCAGCGAGGTATGACGTTCCCCAAAAGGTCTGTCTGCAAGGTCTGTGCATCGCTTAAATGGGGGATCCGCTTGTCCTGCTCCTGCTGCTGGGCTGGATTTCACCCCTCTGTCTAATCATTCATTTCTGGTGCATCCACGTGTGGTCATACAACAGATTTAAAGAGGCAGTTCCTGTCTAGCGATGGGCTGTTTTCTCCCCTCTTCATGTTTCTATGGAAGAAGGTATCTCTGGTGAGGAAAATCTCACTGGCCTCAATATTACATTGTAGGTGGTGGCACTGAAGTCATAAAATACTTAGACCAGAATAGTCCATTCTCTCTAGAGAGCATTTATTGAGCACAGCAATGTGCAACTTCAAGCACACAACAAAGAACAAAGAAGAACTCCGCCTAAGGTAAGACACCGCCAAATAAGACACAGCGCAGGAGTTTTTTTTTTTAAATTTTGTGCCTTGGGCCAACTCATTTCCAAATTGTATCAACTGGGCACAGGGCAATCGTTCAAATCAGTCGTGCTAGCACCGGCAAGTCTCCTCCCTCCCAAACTCTACCGTCTGGGCCTTCAGATGCTCAAAGCCGTGGCTGGCATCCTACATGCAAGCCCCAAGCCTGGAGGCCTTGGAGTTCAGATGCCTGCTAGTGTCATTTGCACCTAGCAGTTTTCATCCCAGGGGGGTTTACTTAGCTGGCAGAAGAGATACCCTTCTTTCGGCCTTGAATGACTTGGTGTAGTTAGAGGATGAAGGCCTGTCCCTTGCACTGCGAGCGGGCTGACCCCCTGTGAGAGTCTACACATGCCTCCCAATGCGAGGATTTCTGCTATGTGGTTTACAGTGATGGGAGATTGCTCTCAGGCTTTCTCTCTGGCTTGCTCCTTTGGCCTTTTGGTTAGGGGTGAGGTCTTTCTGGGGGATCTGCAGGTCATCTTAGGTGGTAAGGAGGAGATCCCATGGGTCTCATCTTTACCTGGGTTTCTGTAGGTGAATGTGCACCCTCTTCTCCACGTTGGGTCCATCATGAATCCCACGTCTTTCATGACATCTGTCACGTAGCTTCAGAATCAGTTAAAGGCCCACACTTGTTACGACTGTGCCAGGTCTTTGCTAACTGTCTAAGCTCCTGCCAGGGGGAAGTTTGGTTGTACAGAGGCGGGTCTTGCACTCTGATTCAGAAGGCACTAACTAGGCCCCTGGCACTGGCAGCACGGGCAATTTTGGGATGGAGGGTTTGATCCCAGTTGTGCCATTGCTACTTGCCAGTGCAGC